GTGCCCATGATAAGGAAGGTGGTGTTCATAATGATGGTGTAATGATAAATGCGATTGGGTAGTGGTAATGATGACTGTGATAATGATGGTAATAATGGTGTGATGATGATGATGAAAACAACCATCACCATCACCACCCATATCACTATCATCACTAACAGATGGAAATTGCCAATGCCTTATAAGAGCACTTTAGAGGACTATGCTATAATATGACACCTTCCTTTAGAAGCTCAATTTTTTACATCCACAACATCYTTATTAATATAGTTCACACCTTTTTATTAATAAGAGAGAGAATCAATAGAGGAAGAGGCAAGAAATCACAGAATTCTATAAAAAAATCCTTCAAGTTTGTTTAGGATGATAATAAAGTTGCAAACAGAAATGGCCATAGTTGCAATAAATACATTTTCCCTACTTACTTTTCCATAAAACYTTCTGTTCCAAGTGGCAATATCATTGTAGAACATTAATTCATGTCCAAATTTTTCTTGAACTATATACAAAAAATGTTAAAACAAAAACCGTAAATTTGCTGTTTTTGTTAATTACCCTTATAAATATGACCTGAGTAAGGCTTTGTGATAATAACTTTGATTCCTGTATATCTAAAGCTCAGTTTACTTCAGTGATGTTTCTAATGAGACTGTTTGCGTAACTAGCTTGACTTGTAAAGCCAATCTTTTCATAAAGTTGTATTCCTTTGTCTCTATAAACTTCTGTCTTCAATAGCACCATATTCTTTTCATGATGTTTATGATATTGAAGCACACAATAACACAGGGCCTTTGCAATGCCTTTTCTTCTGTGTTCTGGTAACACTGCTAGCCAGTGCAATCTACCTTGGCTTGAAACTTCTTCATCTTGCCAAGCAAATGCAGTTGCAATGAAATTGTTACCATATTTGACAAGAAAAAAGCCATCTCTACGGAACTGTGGCTGGACGAAATATCTGGAAAATGAAAAGCAAAAATACCTCAAGAATAAAGGAAAAATCCCATAAGGTTGTAGTGTAGGATGAATAACTAGTGTTACAGGATGAATGCAATATCCAAGATACACACAAGGTTGACAGCATTTCCACATTTTGTAATTGCATTTTTTAGTTGAAAATAAATAATACACATGATAGGTTTTCCTGCAGATTTTTAATTTTTCTGTTATATTTTTAAATTATCAAACTGTTTCATCCATTGGTATTGATACAATAGAACAGTTTTGTCTTACAAAATCAATTATGATATATTGTACTCACTTTAATCAAATAATTGTATAATGAAAATCATACATTACCTCTGGATGAAAGTTTCAGTTGTCCAGTTTGTTAAAAATCCAGGTTCAAAAGCTTTGGTCACTAGGTAGAARTTTTAATACAATGTTAAACACAAACATTTTAAGGCCCTGTTACACGTTGAAACTTTTAGGTGAAACTTGTGTGAACAGTGTTTCAAGATAAGTTTTAGAAGCAATTGCACCGTGTAACACCCCAGCTTTRTGAAACTTTTGTTGTGAGAAAGTTTCATGAAAAGTAGAACTGCTTTCTATTAGCTGCAACCAAAACTCGTGTCGAGAACAAGCTTCAGGATGAAATTGCGCTGTATAACACTCCTGTGAAACTTGTCTCGCAATGCCATTGCACACAAATTTCACCTAAAAGTTTCAACGTGTAACAGGGCCTTTAGAAAAAAAATTGCTAAATACGACTTGACGGTCAAATAAAAGTGACAGTTCCTTAAGATGTGTACGTTAATGTGCACATTTTTGATCATGCAAGCGCTAAACATAGTAGCATTTGTACAGTGAGGGTGCTAACATTTAAAGAACAGATGCTGCATGGATACGAGTACCATCTCTATTGAATCTTGGAATGATTTCTCTTACTTACCTATATCTAACCAAATTTTTTCTGCACCTTCCTACAAAAATAATTAAAATAATAATTGCTCAAAAAATATATCGTTTTTGGTGTCACTTGATAAAATAGTGCTAATTGTTAATTTGCCAACCATTCGCACAACAGCTTTTGCCAAGCTGCTTTGCTTCATCAGCAAAAATGTTCGGTCTGTAAAGGAGAGACTACTAAAAATGCATTCTTTTACAACTTGTCAATGATGCCCAAAATAGCAAGATACAGCCTTACCTGCCACGTATGTAAGGTGTATCCATCGGGAAAAGACGCTTTAGGAATATCACGTGATTGTAAATCGTAAAAGTATAAATACCGCTTCTCGTCAGCAGTCCCCATAAAGAAACAAAAGGGGAAAAAAATTTTAAAAAACCTTCAAATTCCGATTCTGTTGTCTTGTTCTTTCTCTTATTTATCTAATTCCATCAGGCGTTCCTCGTACCTCTAGTCCCAGTCTGTTTGACCGCTACCCAGGGCTCATTGCAGGGAGTGTAGTTTTCGCGCCAAATTTGTCACATGCTTGATTTCTTGCTGGAGATATTTTAGTGCAACAGTTGTAGAGTTAGTCAGAAATTCTTGTCTTYTTTGCACGATCCAGAGCTTCGATCATGACAGATTACGACAGTGAGAAAGGTAAGGAACACAGGAAGCTATATGAAGAGGTTATTCTCTTCATTTTTGTCTATTTTGCCGGATTTTCCGGCTCAAAAATGAAGATTCTTTCTCACATGTCTTACAAATCTTGGCGTCCTTTTCAGACAAAGCCAAAAGATTTCTTGCTGAATTTTACTACGAAGGCGACGAAGGCAAGATTTTCAAGTATGGAGAACAACTGGTAAGTACTAAGAACTGGAAAATTCGATTGAAATTTGAAGAAAATTTAAAATCTCTCAGAATTTTGAGCAMGAAACCGTTAATGTAATTATCATAATTAAATTCACCTTGAACGTTTCAGCATTTTGTTTTCTTGTTAAATTTGCAGGTAAAAGTAGCTCACCGTGAACAAGTACAACTACTAATAGAACTAGATGATATAGCAGAGGTAAAGATTCATGCTTTGAACAAGTTCAAGCTTTATAAAAATGAATTATACGTATTTCTTGTAGTTTTCCAACACTTGACTCGAATGTTTTTGGTGTTAATGTTATGTGAATGTCGTAAGGGAGGGAAGATCTTAGTATTTCATAAGTAATAAAGTGATTTCTGTTATTGTTATATGGCAGATTGATCCGTCACTCGCTGACAATGTGAAAGAAAATGGTCGACGCTACAAGAAAATATTTGAAGATGCTGTTTATGAGATGTTGCCTGACTACAAGGAACACGACGTAAGCTGAATATTATTTTCATTTAAACGTCCGTTGTGAGAAAAAGAGGAAGTTAAAAATCGTTATATAGTAATTCTCGTACTAATTTCTAGAAAAAAGTGGGGAACTTTTACTGGATAACCACTTATTAAGTACCCTGAAACTTAAGCTTGAACATGTCATATTGGAATTTTTTTTGTGGGCAGGGAACTAGCTCTTCTAAGAATGGGGTAAGGTGCAATTCTAGTAGGCCACCTCTCGCCAATGCGGCCTGTGCTTGGTGTTGTATGTGAGTATATTTGCAAAAGCTTGCTATTACAGACCTCAAGTGACTGTCTTGAGGGTGTCTGCTGTAGGGAGAGTTAACTGTACTGCATGTACATTATTTTCATGTTAGGATTGATGGAAGTTTAAACCCAATATTTACCATATATTAAATATTCTAGGTTCAAGTCAAGGATGCCTTGGATATTTACATTGAACATCGATTATTGCTGGAACAGAGAAACCGGCAAAACCAAGCAGAAACTGTTGATCTTAGAAGCAAATATCCTCCAGAACTGCTCAGAAGATTGTGAGTTGATACTGAGTTTGCACTTTGTGTCAGAGAAAGTCAGAGAAATCCACTTCCATCAACATATTATCATACCTATATGAGAATATATATGAAATATATATTTTTACTGCCGTTGTAATGTATCAAATTGAGCTGATCCTCGCAGTGTTTGAAGCAACTTATGCAGCTACATAAGTTGCTTCATATACTGTGAGGATCAGCTCAATTTGATATATTATCATACCATATTTCTCCATGATATCATATCTATAAAATTATCTAAAATATATTAATTTTCACTGAGCACTGCATGATTATAACATAGTTTAAATGTTTTTTATTCTACCTTTCAGTGAAATATGTTTCAAGCATTTAAGCATACAGAAACCTGAGTCTGTACGTAGGATAAAAGCGGAGTCTATCGGCAAGCTAACAGTAGTACGAGGCATCGTAACAAGAACCACAGAAGTCAAGCCAGTAGTTGAGGTTGCAACTTACACCTGTGATCAGTGTGGTGCAGAATCTTACCAACCAGTATGTATTTATGGCAAATTTACATTTCATTTTCTTATTTGAAATGCAATATACTTGGCATGGATCTAGTTAAGAGAGATCTTATGCGATGCTTACTTTCTAAGATCAAGTTATGTCCTTTGATTGATAAACGAACAATTAAGCACAGGAATTATACTTAACTATTACCAAAGCCATGTCCTGGATGAATTGATATGGGTAATTTTATCAGTTATATGGTAAAGTGTCTCATTTAAAGCATAGCTCGTCATTATACTGTCTTATTTTTTAGATCACATCTCAGACTTTTATGCCTATGCTGATGTGTCCAAGCGAAGAATGTAAAGTCAACAAGTAAGTCTAATTCTACTCATTACACATATGTAAATTTCTTTGGAATGAGGGAAAAACTGCTTTAGATCCAAAATTATCTAGCAATATCTACCATGATTTGATTAAAGTTGGTAGAATTGATTGCCTGAGTGTACTTAACTGCATAGACCAAGTTCAGGGCTTCTGTTGATAGCAACCAATCGTCTGAAGTGACTACCCTTAATGCTTGCAGTAGAGGTTTCTTTTAGTTAGTTTTTTCCCTTTGTACCACATCATTTGATGGAAAATAAGACTCTTTGTTTTGAATACCTTCTTTATTATTACATTGAGACATCTTTCCAAGGGATTATAAATGAAAGAAAAAATGAAAAGTTCATATAACATTGTCCAAAAATGGTTCAAACTTTTGTCATATTTCCAAGGCATGCACAAGTTGCTGCAACTCTATTCTCTACTTCTGCTCGCTGCATTTTCACTTTCAGACAATATCGAACAGAGACAGGTATTGCATTGTATCAGCCGTATTCGCTATCCAGGAGGCGGGGCCAAGATCGATCTTGCTCTTAACTACAACGAAATCAGAAAATACTAAGTTGTCGATGTTTGTATTTTTTATTTTTTTTCAATAAAATAATAATTTTCCTGTATCGTTATTAGGGCTGGTGGTCGTCTTTATCTTCAGTCCAGAGGATCCAAATTTGTTAAATTCCAGGAGTTGAAGGTTCAAGAGCACAGCGATCAAGTACCAGTGGGTCACATTCCAAGAACAATGACAATCATTGCTAAGGGAGAAAACACCAGACTAGCTGTACCTGGAGATCATGTATGTGTTACTGGAATATTCCTGCCAATGTTGATGACTGGTTTCAGACAGATGACCCAGGGCCTGCTGTCAGATACTTTCCTCGAGGCTCATGTAAGTAATTGAAAGTACTTTATGATATTTGCTGAGACAATAGGAGACAAAGTGTTGTCTTATGATCAACAGAGCAAGAAGCAACTCAATAGACCTCCTCGGCTCTGGAGTGCTCGAGTGTAATGTTGTCCCATTTCAGACCATGTGTCATTCCCTTGAGAATAATATTCTTTGTTTGAGTTGTATCCATATTCATGTGTCTTCTCATGTGCAACCGAACGCAAACCTTAAACAAAGAAATGATACAAGGGAATGACACATGGTCTGAAATGGGACAACATTACACTCGAGCACTCCAGAGCCGAGGAGGTCTATTAATCAGAAATCTAGAAGTTGTTATAAAATAGCATAAGTATAAAAACAGCTCTAATTAATGGCATGTAGTGTTTAGACAGGTTCATAGTGGTATATAATGTCAATTAATTGTTGAAAACGAAGATGCACCACAAATGAGAGAATGAGGAAGATGGAAGTTAATGGAAGCCTAAAATTCTTTTTGCTGAACATATTTCCATTTTTTTTGTTTACAGCGAATAGTACTCATGAATAAAACAGAAGATGATGAATTAGGAACAGAAGAGTTGTCTGAGGAAGAGGTTAAAGCTCTTTCTGAAGGTGAATAATCAGCTGAAGACATTAAATAAACCTTATTCATTCAGGTGCAATATGTTTACCCATTCCAGATGAAGTGTCATTCCCTAGAGAATATAATTGTTTGTTTAAGTTGTATCTATATTCATGTGTCTTCTCATGCACAACCATTAAACAAAGAAATGATACTTAAGGGATCAGTGACATGCTGTCTGAAATGGGAAAATGTTGCACCACTTGAGACGAAATAGTGCTATTTCCTAGATATTCTACGGACTGAGATGCCTTTAGAAAAACTCTTGAATGTGTGTGTGTAACGGAAGCTCCCGTAGTATCGTTTTTAATAACTATTGTACCACATGATTTTAACCATATGTAATCATACCCGCTGTGAGGTCAAATCAGAGACTCACAGAAATTCGACRAGTTAACATCCACTAACCACCAAGTTGTTGTGAAAAGATTATTAAACTTTGTGGAATTCAAGAGTCTTAGTCCTGGTTTCAATTAAGTTTCACGGATCTCTCCAACAAGGAGCTGCCATCCGCTACAGTGTGGCAAAATGTTACAACAATTTAAAAAAGAAATTGAATCAGTTTTTGAAGGTTTCTTTTTTGGTGCTACAGAGGCAGATTTCTACAACAAGCTAGCATCGTCATTAGCTCCTGAGATCTATGGACATGAGGATATCAAGAAGGCATTGTTACTGCTGCTTGTTGGAGGTGTTGACTGTACTCCACATGGAATGAAAATAAGAGGTACATGAGCTTTACCACATATTATACTGCTACTCAATTGATATAAATTGATTGATCAAAATACCGTGTTTGATAGAAGTATCGAACATGCTCATGTCATTCTTTCTGCTTGCAAGCTAAGAAGTTTAGTGTTGATGGGAAAAACTCTATTTTTCRTTAATATTATTTGAATGCTTGTTTTATAGAAAAATATGTAACAGTTTTTTATGTTTGATACTGTGATCTAAACAGAACAATGTTGTTTAAAGCTGGAAACCATTCCAGTTTTCATCTTGGTTTACTACGATTCTCTCATGTTCTCTCTGGAAAACTGCTTTATATTTCTTCATTCATGCCTGTTGTATTTTATTTTTCCTCTTGTAGGAAGCATAAACATTCTATTGATGGGAGATCCCGGTGTGGCTAAGAGTCAGATGCTATCATACGTTGACAGGCTTGCAACCAGAAGTAAGCATTTATTAGAATTCAAAAATAATAAATAAATATCAAACACCATTAGATAGGAAAAAGATTATTTTCTTTTGGTCAACAAACATTGTCCAGTCAAATTGTCTTGACAAACATGTTGATCAGTCTGTCTGTGGCTGGTAATCGAGTCTAGCCACCAAGCAGCTGTTATTTAAAAAAAAAATAATTACATTCATACTAAGTGAAGTCATTGACTTTATTCAAACAAGATGTATGGTACAGTAAAGGTACATTATTACATGTAATATTATTTTGTATTTTCAGGTCAATATACCACAGGCCGTGGTAGCTCTGGTGTTGGTTTAACAGCTGCTGTAATGAAGGACCCCTTGACTGGAGAAATGGTTCTTGGTAAGGGGTATAACATATTGCTTCAGTGTGTAAAAGATTGGATTTTAAAATTATTCAAATGTGTTTATTTGGATAACACCACTATAGTATAGTCAAAAATCTTGTACCTCCAATAAGCAGTAATTTTAAAAATAACTTCTTCTATGATAAAAACTGCTTGAAAAGTATCAATTGATGGTATTTATCAGATATATATAGAATCCATTGTTGTCAGTTGTTTATTGTACTAGTGATGGGGCAAGTATATTGAGGTATAAGATGTAGCATAGACGATACCTGCTCAAGCCCCTSCAAAATATAAAAATTGCTTCCAAAACCCAGCCAGTGTTGTAGGTAAATAGGGTCTGGAATTTCTTTTTCTTGGGATTCCTACTGTCCAAAAACAGCTGTAAAAGCAGGGCTTGAAATAATGGTCAGACATCGGACGATGTCTGGCCAGAACTGAGACTTGTCTGGTCAAACCTTTGCTTTGCTAGTTATTTTGACCAGTAACATTGAGCCACAAATGAGGTATCACTAAGCTAAAGGTAATTTGGAGACTGATGGACCAATATTTTAAGCCTTGTAAAGCTGACGTAACTCTTTAAAGCATTTGATTATGTTTGTGTTTTTTCTCAGAGGGTGGAGCCCTAGTACTCGCAGATAAAGGTGTTTGTTGTATTGATGAGTTTGATAAGATGATGGATACTGATCGAACAGCTATCCATGAGGTCATGGAGCAACAGACAATATCAATAGCAAAGGTATGCTACAAAAAAGCATGAATGAGGAATTAATAGGTCTTCAGATAGTGGATTTCCATAGCTTTTATTGCTACGTAATGATCAACACAAAAGTAATGACTAGTTAGTAAGCAATACATTATTGTAAAAAGAAATTATTCCCACATACCTTTACATTACTAAATAAGCAACAGGACTAACTAGTAGTATTCTTTGTATTTATTTAAGAAATTATCTCCAAACCACTTGAATTAAAAAGATAGAATTACCATTATTTGTTACTTTTCTTGATGTAACTGTGCTATTTGTATTCAGGCTGGTATAATGACAACATTAAATGCCCGTGTGTCCATCCTAGCTGCTGCTAATCCAGCATTTGGTCGGTACAATCCAAAGAAATCAGCAGAACAGAATATCCAGCTGCCTGCTGCCTTGTTGTCCAGGTTTGATGTACTATGGTTGATCCAGGACAAACCAGACAAAGAAAACGATTTAAGGTAGGAATACTATACTAAAATATATAGCATGAATAAAATAAATGGCTGGTCAGTTGCTGGTCATGATGCCCTGCCAAATTAGTCTTAGCCCAGTCATATCTTCTGGCTCAAAGTTTAGGGCTTTCATAAGCTGATGGAGCTCTGGCTTTTGCTTCGAAGTTAACAGATTGCTAATTTTTCTTTTCTATGAAATACCTTCTGTCCCTTGCATCGATCACTGACATTACTGGTCAGGCATCACAATGACAGGCAAGACCAAAGTGTAACAGTTCCTGTCCTAACTGGACATGACGTCTGATGACCAACCATATTTTTCTATGATTTTTTACACCAAAAAGGACTTCAAAAAATGCTTTTTTGATGAGTTACCATTTGAGTCCAATAAATGAGTGTATGTGATAATTTATGATGAACAGTAGATATATGTCTATTGACAATCAGCCAACTGCCAACTGTTTGTCAATTTACAATGTTCTTAACCACAAAGATACTTACAAGTAGGAGCCACTTTGATCAGATGAGGTGCTTAAAATCTTAAACACACTGCCTTAGTTTATTTTATAATTCACTTCTTAGTCCTAAAACATTTTAAGTAAGATCATTTAATAAGGACACTACAATATATTACATACCTTATTCTCATTGTTTGTGTTTTTTCTTGTAGACTAGCCCAACACATCACATACGTCCATCAGAATTCTTCTCATCCACCGTCAGAGTTTGAGCCCCTCGACATGAACCTAATGAGGTAATGAACCATAAAAAAACTTGTACACCAAAGATAATTTGATACCATTACTACTTTCACTCTGAAAATGCTTTCTTTAAATTAGTTGCTGGGAAATATTTTTAGTTTGTAGAAATTGTGTATTTTTGTGCAAAGTAGGTTGGATAAATGCATTTACACAATACCTGCTTCTCAGGACTCAATTCTCTATAATATTGACACCCGCAATACAAGGCATGAGACCCATATTTGAACAGCACACAATAAGTATCAAATTAGTGGCAATTCACTTTAATATTGACACCCGCAATACAAGGCATGAGACCCATATTTGAACAGCACACAATAAGTATCAAATTAGTGGCAATTCACTTTAATATTGACACCCACAATACAATGCATGCAATGCAATGCATTGAGACCCAAACACAATGACACATAATGACAATGACAAAAACATGAGCAGTTAGTGCAAGACGCAATGAGATGGGGTTGACAATAAGTGTCAAGTTAGTGGCCCAGAGACTCAATTAAAATTTACCTATGTTTTAAATAGATTGCTACCTTTATCTCTGTCACATTTGTATTGTCCAGGCGTTATATAGCGGCATGTAAAGAGAAGATGCCTGTGATCCCAGAGGGTCTGACTGACTATCTAGTGAGTGCTTACGTAGAGATGCGAAAAGATGCTAGAACAAACCATGACACTACATTTACCTCACCAAGAACATTATTGGCTGTGCTGCGACTTTCAACAGCACTGGTATGTACATAATTGCCCTTGTTTGTTTGTTGTCCTTGTTTTAGGAGGATAGTCTGTCGCTAGTTCATTGCTCTCTAATATCTGTTTTAAGGCCCTGTTTCTTTGTCGGAATTTTCAGTACCCCTAACAGGGCATCGTTATCCATGCAAGTACATGTATAACCTCTTCATAAGCATGCCCTTCATGTCATGTTTCATTTCACTTCCAGGCCAGATTACGATTAGCTGATGCCGTAGAGAAAGAGGACGTCAATGAAGCCATGAGACTAATAGAAATGTCGAAAGCATCACTTACAGATGAGGAGGGAACAAGGAGGTTTGTCTTCTCCACCTTAGTACCTTCTTGTGACTTACTTTAGCCATGATCTTGCTATTCGAAAATAGTAAACGATATGACCTCATAATTGGTGTCCCTAGGATGTTGGTAGTTTGTCGGTAGGGTGACAACAAATGTTTTGGGTAGGTTAACAGTGTGCTGTTGACCAACGACCTATTTTAAAGTCATTTATACAGTTGCTAATGCTTGTTATTGCTTTTTAGGGTTGTAAATCCAGTAGATGCTATATATGGTATCATAAAAGAGATAGCTGGTGATGCCAACAGCGTAAAGTAAGTATCATTTGCACACACAAAATTGAATTATATCTTCTTTTTTCTTTCCATTTCATTATGAATGAGGGATTAAGTAGTCCAGCAAATTGACGAACTGTTCATGCTGGATCAAGTTGTTTTGTGGTTGAAGAAATCAACCAGTATACTATAGATCAGCATCATCTTTTGTTTTTGCTAAAAAACTGCAGCTCGGACAAAATATTTTTCAAAATGTGATTCAATACTCAATGAAAAGCTGTCTTTTTCCCCTTCAAATATTTGATAAAGTGTTGTAGTAAGGGAGGGGACAGCTATCCTACCCCTCCCCCAAACGTTTTACTAAATCTGTGGATAAAGCTGAAATTTCCAAAGATTAAACATGTACAGATGTGTTTTAGCAGGAAAATGGTACCTTGAACCACACCCCCTCCACTCCCCCCCCCCCCCCCCCCCCCCCCCCCCCCCCCCCCCCCATGTCCTAGACCTCACTATTACACTGATTTGATATAAGGATTATAAGGCATCCAACAAGATGCTTCTTCCTGATTTTGACTTTATCTAAATCAAATTCTAATACTGATAATAACTACTGTTCATATTTTTTTCATCAGAATGCAAGAAGCAAAACAAAGATGTCTTTCTAAGGGTTTTACACCTGATCAATTCAATAGTTGTTTATCAGAATATGAAGAACTTAATGTATGGCAGATAAACCAGGGCAAGACTAGGATAACCTTTGTCAGATAGGACAGTAATCTATCTTTTAGTGTGCTTCCAATAAACTATTGTCCTTACAACAGAGCTTCCAAAAATGCCACCAACAATACTGAGGGGGTTTTATTGAGTGCTAAAGTAGTTTTTATATGACTGTGAATACTTACTAAAGGCTTAGAGACTTGGCAACAGTAAGCAAGTCAAAGCATGGTAAATAACATTGAACTTGTCAGAACACTTGAACACAGCACTTACTTCTTCTGTCTAAGCATGGCCCTCCGGCATCAGACACATTTCACAGTCATATATGCTGTCATTGACCGCTACAGAGAAGGCAAGATTGGCTTTGTGGATATTGGATCAACTAAGATCCAAAATGATTCTTTTGGCTTTCTCAGACTTAGGGGCAGAATTCAAGGTGAATAAGTTGAAAACTCTCAAGAGCAGTAGAGTGAAATCTATATATGTCCTTGAAATAGTACTTACTAATTAGTATGAAAAAGCACCAACAAAACAATTGAAGACCAAAAATTAGTTATGTTTAGCGAGTGCTATCTAGTTTGTTTTGCTATTTCATGGATATAAGGTTTGCATTCTGCCAAGGAAGCCAAAACCTTAGTAAAGAAGCCCTCTGATTGAAAAAATTTATCTATTGACTGTCATGGTTGTCGAGTAGTGCTACTGGTAACCTTCTTTGTAGTCTGTTTGTCCACAAAGCCACCAAATGAACACACCCTCATCAATAAAAATGATTTTTTGTACAAACACTCTTACTAGATGCTTGCTGAAGAACGTCTGTTTTACCATTTTATACTTTAGTATTTTCAAAGACAATGTACATTTTCCTTTCTAAGTAATTACTGTAACATTTTGGTAAATAAAGTTTAAATCTAGCTTGTCTTCATCATAGTCTGGCAATAATTGCAAAATTAAAAAATTAAAAAAATATAAAAAAAACAGGGCTGGGTGAGCATGAGGGGAAGTATTAGGTGATTCAGGAGCATAACCTAATGAGACTTATTGTGGCTTTGCAAGGAAGGATCCAGGATTTTCTGAACTGAAAAGGGAGCTGTAGTTTGGGGAATCAAAACTAAAAAACAGCTTCTTACTTCTGATCCTCTTTTACTGGCTTTGGTAAACTCAAGATGTAATAAGTGGGAATTTGAAGTTGTCTCCTAGGGTGTTTGATTGTGATTTAGATCGGCATATCAAATCTGATATCTTTTTGGAATTTCGTTCTCATTTTTATCACGACCCGGACAACTGGATTTTGAAAACTTAACAGTTTTGTCCAATTTTCAAATCTGAGTTCAAAATATGATGGCAGCCAAAATCTCAGAAGTCTTAAATCTTGTCTTTTTATTTAAAATTAAGTAGATAGTTGACTGGTCATGTGATTGTGAAAATGGTATAAATTGAAAAGCAAATTTTGGGATGCCCGGCATTTAATCCATCCATTTCTTTTGAAGAAAATTCAGGATGTGACGCAGGCTAATTTTGGGATAGAATCAGAAATGCAGTTTTTGAGCTTTTTTCTTTTTTCTTCTTGTTTATTATTTTCTTTTTTCTTGTTTGTTGTTGTATGAACAGAATCCAATGTAGCTACTTAACTCTTCCCAGTAGACCGAGGTAGTTGTGATTTTTTAATCGCCTTCGTAGCGTCTGTTATGTTATCCGCAAGTACATTTCAAATCGACCACGTGATGCCAATATTGTACCACGAGGACAAGTTTTTTACACCACGTGATCAAAATTCAGTCAAGTTTTAATCACGTGGCGTAAAAAACTTGTCCTCGTGGTACAACTTTGGCATCACGTGGTCGATTTGAAATGTACTTGCGGATAACATAACAGACGCTACGAAGGCGAGTAAAAAATCACAACTCCTCGGTCTACTGGGAAGAGTAGTACATTCACCCTTGATTTCATGAAAGGACAACGACAAGAGTGTGAAGTGAACTTTATTACAAAAAATATTTCATTTTCCCCTAATATTATACCATTAGATATAGCTTTGGCATATCACAGCTTTGTTTTCGCGACTTTGAAAATTTCCATCAAGATATTCTCTGATGAATATTTTGGTTCATAATTTATCGATTTTTTCGAAAAGATGTAAAACCGCCAATTTGAAAAATACCTATGTTATGTATAATATACAATATAAAAATATACACGATATCGCGAAAACAAAACTGTTTTGATGCTTAAATAATGCGCATGATTAGAGCAGGCAGATTTCTATGCTTGGGAATTAATTTGCGACCCTATGCTATACATGCTTCAAGAGTTTTGCGCTACTGCTCTAAGCGCATGCTCAAGGGGTCAAAAATTGGGATCATGGGTCGTAAATATTGCTATATAATATTCAAGTAGCATTAAGCTAATTCCAAATCGAATATACAAAAATATAGCAATCTTTACAGCCCATGGTCCAACTTTTTGACTAGTAGCGTGGAACAATTGATGCATTTATAGAATTAATAAACATAACCAACTAAAGATTTTAGTGCTGGCAAAACGTTTTCTAAAATATACTCCAACCCCGCTATTCTGTACCCTGTTATTTTGGCCAATTTTATCTCTATCTTTGTTACACCCTTTTGGTTGAAGTAGGCATAAACAGTTGAACGRACAAAAACAAAGGATATGTATTCAAATCAACTGTCCATCAAGGGAAACTACGAAGTGCTTAGGTTGCATTGTCAAGTAGAGCAGTTTTCGTATGACTGTGAAAAGCGCAGTGTCGTATGCGTCCCATTTCGTGACCGTGATGTTTTCTAGAATTTAAATTGGCTATTTTTTTTTTCTCGCGCAATTTGATTGGTCTGGCAGTGCCGCGACTTTGGCGTGACCGTGTCCGCGCCCTGATCGCGCCATGTTTCGGGCATTTGATTGGATGATGAGTAAATTATCGCGCAGTGTGACTGGATTGGCGCATACCTTACCGTGTTATGACCGTGTTCGTGCCGCAAGCTTTTCACAGTCATACAAAAACTGCTCTAAGTAGTTATAAGTACTAAGTACTTATATTTCTAACTTTCTATCCTATCTTATTTCCCCTTATTCAATAAATAGGCGCGCGTGAAAACTGTTACTATGCTGAATAAGTTCAATTCTAACTTCCCAAACACGAGGGAAGTTGCTAATCTTTGATATTGTTTTGATCTTTATCTTGGATCTCCTGTAGCATCTTGGTAATTTCTGGCGAACACGAGATTACGTTACTTCCACTCGAGGTAACAACAGAGGACGAGATATTCTGTGTCATCTCTACACTGCGAGTTTCAGTTTGTTGGACATCTTGAGGTCCCGTTTCTTGGTTCATACTTGCAGTATCAGGCCCTTGGGAGGAGTCGGGCTGGTCAGTAAAACTTTGGGCTCCTAACATTTGATTCGTAGAATCTAGCGACGGTGTTGGAAAAACTGGTTGACGCCCGAATAGGCCTGCACCCTGTCTGGACATAATTTCGTGACTGAAAAAAGAAGGCTGGGTTGTTCTGGAAAAGAGCTCTTGGTTAAAAATGGAAGGCTGCATCATTCCTCGAGCTCCCAGTGAAAAGGGTGGAGATTGGAATGGGTTCTCTTCACCAGATGAAGTGATCTTTTTCTCTTGCAAAGCAAAGGACGCCATTTGTCGACTTTCCTCTATCTTTGTGCCATCTGTTTGCACCACGTTTTGTTCCTGATACGAATTAGCAATGGCAGATTGTTCAGTTCTGTGTCCACTGGTTGTGGTACTGCTAAACTGTTTAACTTCTTTCTTGACAGTCTTGAAGCTATGGAACGCCTCTTTCGTAGCTGTAGACAGCGATCCAGCTACCAACTGAGTACTATCTGTTGGCATCATGGCTTCTTTTAATGGTGACGTCGATGAAGATGGAACTTCCTGAGTGCTTTCTGAAGCATTTTCTTGGTGATCTCTTATACCTTTTTCCTCATTCTCTTTCAAACTTGGCTCCTCCTTTTCACTGGATTCTTCGGAACTTTCATCTGCTTCAACAGTGGCCACATCTGGTGAATCCAAGGTATCTCTACATTCTTCGAACTTCTTCTTAAATTCTTGGGCGTTTTCAGCGGTCTTGAATCGAACTGCCAACATCTCTTCCTTCGGTTGTTCTTCAGAGATATCAGCWAGGGTTTGCCAAATCCACGAGCGATCGGAATTATTCGCAGCCAACGTCATATTGATGGTTATAAGATGGTTAGCACAAAGTTTATGTATGTGATCACGCCTCATGACAATACGAGAATGGCCCTTTCCTGTAAGTATTTTGATCTCACCGACGCCTCTTTCTTTCCATTGCTTTAGTTCCTTGTCGTAGCGGTATAGTTTTGCCCGTTCTTTGAAGACAACCTCTTCGTTTTCTTCTCCTGTGACAGCCTTTATTTTCTCTGGTAATGCGATGATTGGTTCAAAGTGAATGTGGTCACCAGAAACATCATGATGGTATTCATCGTCGTGATCATCATCTTCTGCTTTCTCTTCAACTGGTTTCTGATCGTTCAGTCCTTTAAAAGAAAAGGCTTCAGATGAAGACGGCGCTTGGTCAAAAATGCCTACCTTCCCTACGTCGCTAAAAGACAGCGAAGAGATTGATTGTGTCCCAAACAAAAATCCGGACTGGTCTGGTTTTGATGAGTCTTTGTCCTCTGAAACAGTTGAATCAGGTTCTGGAGTCTCTTGCTTTTCTTCGGTATTACAAATCTCTTGTTTGTTGATCTCTCCGTTATTCTCCTCCCTTGGAGCGCCACACTCTGGACATGTCTTGTTTGAACTGTTACTTGATACATGACAAGAACCACATTCCCATTTCGCATCATCAGAGCTTCCGACTTCGTTTGTTTTATCTTCCTTCTCATTAGATGTCTTTGACACTTGATGCAGTTCTCCTGTAGCTTGGATGTCAGTTGCGTTAGTTGTACTGTCAACTTCAGAAACGGAATCTCCCTGCCGTCCACTAGTACTTGAGGTTTGCATTGGTTCTTTAACAGCTTCTTTATCTGTCTCACTACTGGTACTGTCGACCTCGGAAACCGAGCACTCTTCTTTTTGCTGCCTTAAAATGTTCTGACATTCTTCAAATACTTTCTTAAACTCTTTTGCTGTGTCAAGCGATTTGAACCTAACTGCTAGCTTTTCTGCCGTCGGTTCTTCTTCAGATAAATCCGCCAAGGTATACCAGACCCACGAACGATCATTCCCGGCATTGGGGACCAGGTTCATATCAGTTGTAATAACATGGTTTGCACAAAGTTTGTGGATCTGGTCCCTTCGCATAACAACTCTGAATTTATTGTTGTTTTTGTTCTTAAGTATTTTAATATCGCCAACTCCACGCTCTTTCCACTGTGAAACTGAGCTCTCAAATCTATACAACTTTGCTCGATGGCCGAATAGCTTTTCTTCATTTTCTTCACCAGTAACTACTTCAATCTCAGAAAGGCTCACGAGAGGTTTAAAATAGATATCCTGATCATCTTCTGTACCGTCATCGGTGCCTCGTGGCGAGCTGAACAGCTGTGTGCCTTGTCCCGCAAATCCTTTACTTGATTTTTGCTTACCAAACTGAAAGCCCTTGTCAGTGGACACATCCGAAAATGAAGAAAATGATAGCCCTGATGAAGATCCAAACACAGTTTTTGGTTCTTCGCTTTTCTTTGCTTCTTCCCCTGTTGTTATTTTACTTTCGACTAGTAAACGATCAGGAGAAGTTGTTTTGGCTTTAACAACACTGCTAGGAGCTTGTGGTTGTCGTTCGTACAGAAAGAACCCTTCTGGAAGGAGAAGACTTCGAGCGCGGCGTTTCTCTTCCTCACTCGGTTCGACAACACTGGTCAAAGCCAGATCTACTGTATCCTGTTCTCTTTTTTCAGCAGCATCTGTGGAATCAGCATCTGCCTTTTCTGTCTTGGGTTCTTTTTTGGGTTGAATCACGGCTTCTGTCATAACAGCAGAGGACACACTGTCTTTGTCTGTAGTGGTTTGGTCAGAACCGGAAAATCCAAAGGTAAATCCTGGCACTTTACTAGCAGAATTGGATGAATTTGCTGCAAATCCAAAAACGTTGGTGGTAGCGGGTTTAGCGGCAGCTGTATCTTCTTTCGGTACACTTTCATTATCAAATACCAATTGTGGTTTTTGAGATGAGGTGTCAGTTACTGGGACTCTGAAGGTAATACCACCAAATGGTACGGGAGCCGAACTGTTATTCTGTCCAAATGAAAACCCAGTAGCTTCAGGTCCACCAAAACTAAACGGCGCTGGCTTGCTTTGGGTAGATGAGACAGCTTGGCTTGTGTCAGCACCAGGTTTAGGCGAAGAGCATGCTGCACAACTTGTAGAATCTGCGTTATTGGGTACGAGACAAACTTCACACTCCCAGGACCCTGGCTTCGTTTTGAACTTATCCATTAATGAATCTTTCTTTGTATCTTGCGTTGGAGTTGAATCTGCTGCAAATCCAAAAACGTTGGTGGTAGCGGGTTTGGCGGCAGCTGTATCTTCATTCGGTACACTTTCATTACCAAAGGTGTCAGTTGCTTGGAGTCCGAAAGTAACGCCACCAAATGATACTGGAGCTGAACTGTTATTCTGCGTAAATGAAAACCCAGTAGCTTCAGGTCCACCAAAACTAAACGGCGCTGGCTTGCTTTGGGTAGATGAAACCGCTTGGCTTGTATCAGCGCCAGGTTTAGGCGAAGAGCATGCTGCACAACTCGTAGAATCTGCATCATTGGGTACAAGACAAACTTCACACTCCCAGGACCCTGGCTTCGTTTTGAACTTGTCCATTAATGAATCTTTCGTTTCCTGTGGTGAAATGTCTGACCTCTTTTCTTCGACGTTTGATCCTTCACTAAAGCTTTTATCTTTCTCTTCTTTATGAACGATACTTTCTTGAGAATCATCGGTTATTTTGACAGCAGTGGTTTTACTCTTATCATCTACTTCAGATTTGTGTTGCACCAACTTTTCGTGGCACTTATCAAACTTTTCCTTGAACTCTCGAGCAGTCTCCTCATGCTTAAACCGAACTGCCAATTGTTCTGCCTTAACTTCTTCATCTGAAAAATCTGCAAGTGTATTCCAAACCCATGATTTAGTTGAGGTGCCATTTGGATTAAGAGTCATGTCAGGAGTAACATAATGATTGGCACAGATCTTGAGGATGTGATCTCGACGCATTAGAATACGAACACGACTATTCTTTTTGTGAAGTAGAATCTTAATATCACCAACTCCCCGTTCTTTCCACTGTTTTAAGTCCCGGTCAAACCTGTACAACTTGGCTCGATGGGAGAAAATTAACTCCTCCTCTTCCTCGCCAGTTCGTGCTTCTACTTTCTCTGGCAAGGGAACGAGTGGTTCAAAGTGGGGACCATCTTCATGGTGTTCTTCACCTTCACTTCCTTCGCTTTCTTTACGGTGAGCTGGAGATCTTGAAAAGAGTGGTACGCCAGGTTTAAACTCTTCCTTGTTCTTAGTGCTTCCTAAGATTCCAAGACTAGAATCAATATTTGAAGCAATTGAAGCGAAGGACAACGATGAGATGTTTGAAGATCCAAATAGGAAACCTGATGATTGGGGTTCCTCCTTTTTACTTTCGGTCTTCTCGATGTCATCTTTGGACCTGTTCGTAAAGAAAACCCGTTAGAATAATAAATAAATAAAAAGGCTGAAAACAAGGTGAAGAGAAATACAGAACAAAAGTAAAGCCTGCAAAAAGGAACGCGACCATAAGAAGGAGCATCGAAACAATAGAGGTCAAATCTATCGCTGAGTTCAAATGTATGAATAGTTAAAAGTTAATACGTAATACTTCAAAGTAATATAAATAATCACAAAGATATTAAGAGCTACATACTTTTCTGCAACAGAACTTTTGTCGTGTAATTCTTTATCTTCTGTTGACTGCTTTGAAGGCGTCTCTTCACTTTTTTGTGTTAGAGTGCTATCGTCTTCCTTTGGTGATACCTGCTCGCCTTCACCTTCCGAAACCTGGGGTTGAGATTTTCCCTCTTTTCCTTTTTCAAAAGCATCTTTGAAGCTCAGAGCAATCTCAGCAGTCTTGAAGCGGACTGCCAATGTCTCTTGTTTAGGAACTTCATCCGCAAAGTCTGCAAGCGTATTCCACACCCAGGACTTCTCAGATCCTGCATTAGGTTTCAAAGTCATTTCTGGCGTAATTTGGTGATTGGTACAAAGCTTCAATACAATGTCCCGTCGCATAACAACACGGCACTTGCCAGAACTAGTGCTTCTTAAGATTTTAATGTCACCTAATCCACGTTCCTTCCACTGATTTCCTTCTTTATCAAATCGGTACAACTTTGCTCGTTGGCAAAAAAGGACTTCATCATTTTCCTCTCCAGTTTTCTTGGTAATCTTCTTGGGTAGTGGAATGATGGGTTCAAAATGAATGTTATCATCTTCAGCTTCTGGGTGCCTACCTGGGGACTCTGGAGATGTGGGAGATTGTGGGGACTTTAGAGAATTTTTTAATGGCTCCTTATCTTGTGACAACTCCAGTTTGAAATTAAACTTCGTGTGGGACAATGACCCAAAGGCGAATCCTGTAACAGGGCTAGCTGAGGTTCCACTTGTGGGAGGTATTAATGAGGTTGGAGTAGTTTTTGAAGGGGTTTTGTTAGGAGACGTCTTGCTTGGGCTGTGTCTGTAGGTATCTTCCTCTAATTCCTCCTCTGGGGCGTCACCTCGTCCAATAGTGAACACAGGCTTTTCTAAAGCCTTACTTTGAGCTATGCCATCAGGTTGACTCGGTTGTTGTTGTTGTCCAAACTGGAGAGTGGCAGATTTTGTTGTACTGAACCCACTACTCTGAGAAGTGCCTAAGGTAAACGTCTGTGGTGTTTGGATATTTAGTGCTGGTTCTGATGTTTGCCCCGGTTTGGGTGTGTTACATGCGGCACAGGTGGTAATGCCAGGATTGTTTTGGATCAGACAAGCTTTACATTCCCATGCTCCCGCCTTGGGTTTAAACTTGTTCATTAAAGAATCTATCCCATCAACTTCCTCTGAACTCTGTCCCCTGTTAGGCGTTTCGAAGACTGAAGCTGTTGATGTACTAGTGGGTGTTACACTCGCCTGTTCATTTATAACTCCCACTTCCTTGCCTACTTCAGATGCTTTTTCAGACATCTTCCCAGCTTTTTTGTTTTCTTTCGGGTTTTTCCTTGCAAGTGCAACCAAATCATCAAATTCATCTTTAAACTTCATAGCTATTTCTGGCGATTTAAAGCGTACAGCAAGCTTTTCTTGAGAAGGCATTTCCTCAGAGAAGTCTGCAAGGGTCTGCCACACCCAAGACCGATCAGAAGTGGAATTGGTTCTCAGTTCCATGTCTTCTGTAATCCAGTGATTGGCACAGAGTTTGTGGACTTGTTCTCTCCTCATCACCACTCTTCCTCGGCCAGTTTTGTTGTCCAACAGAAGCTTTATGTCTCCAATTCCTCTCTCTTTCCACATGGAGGCACTTGCATCAAAACGGTATAATCGTGCTCTTTCTGAGAACAACAGAGTATGATCTTCTTCACCCGTGGTCACTTTGATTAGCTCAGGAAGAGGAATGAGAGGTTTGAAATAAATATCTGTTTCATCTGATGCATCATTTACTGGAGATCCAAAAAGCTGCTGTCCCGCCATTGGAAACAGAAGATGAGTTGTGTCCTTTTTCTCGAACGTCGCGCCAGCTGTTGTGGAAAACGATGCAAACGATAATGGCTTGGCTCCTAGTGAAGTTCCAAAGATATGATTTTCTTTTTCTGAAGATGGTTTTGCAGAGTCTTCAGGTTTTAATTGAGTTGTTGTTGCCATGTTGTCTTTTTCTGGTTTTTTCAAAACATCTTGTTTCATCTTCAAGCGCACATTATTGTCACAGCCCAAACATCCAGGACAAGGCTCTGTTCTTGCATGATAGAAAAAATTCAAAGGTAAGAGAAGTCGAGAAGCCTTATCTCGATCTGTCATTGTCGCCCTTATTTCATAGATAACAAAGCAATCATCATTTTTGGGTTGGCCTTTCTTCAGAGGACTTCGCGCTGTTAAGAACTTCCTTGCAGATACACCAGGCGTTATACTCATTAGAGGAGGCATTTGCATCAGGTTTTGTCCTTGAGGTAGAAGCTGATGCGTAGTGGGACTAGGTTGGGATACCACTGTGTTGTTGAGATCATCCTCGTTAGAATAACTGTTATCTTCTTCTTCGTCGTATTCGTCACTAGAATGATAGCTACCGGACTCTTCAGATTCAGTCTCAACGTCATCAGAGTAGTCATCCAAATCCTCACTCGTTTTCGAAGAATCGTCTGGAGTAACTGTTGAAAAGTTTGACGAACCCTGTAGCTGGTTACTACTGGAGGTTACAGTTTCCCTAGGTTTGCTTTGTAAAAGTGACATCAACAAGTCTGGAGGCTGGGGCCCCTTTGAAGCTAACCCATGTGCCAGAGACTTGTCTTTTATTTGTTGTAGTGATGGTAAATTCCCTGCATTCTCACCCATTCCTTGGACTGGTTGTGATGCCACAGAAGCACTTGCACTTTTGCTTGCAAGTTTACTTAAGATAAATGACGCAGGATACATGGCATCGGGTTTACCACTTGAGGGTGTTACAACTGCTGGCGCCATTCCGGCTAACGGTTCTGTTTTGTGAAGGTTACCAAATCTGAACTTTTCTTCCAGTTGTTGTTGCCAGAACAATTGTGGTGGGATGGTGGAAAGAACAGATGACGAAGCTGGTGCAGTCTGTTGAGAAGCTGAAGACATTTCTGAGGATACACATGCTGAATTTGGGACGACAGCATCACCTGAGGCAGAGCCTTTTTCTTCTTCATTATCATTGTCAATGTCAAATCCTGGCAAAGCATTACTTGGTGAAGTACTAAATGTCAAAGACTTCACTTCCTTTGAATCGTCTTTGTTTTGCGCTCCTTCAGACTTAGGAGTTCCATTACTAGGAGATCCGAATGACAAACCAACTGGCGATGAACTTGTATTCACTTGACTCGAAGGATTTGGGGTGGTAGACACACCAAATGGCGCCAAAGTAAATGAAGGTGCTTGAGTTTTGCCAAAACTGAATGACAAAGGAGAACTCGAAGAAGTTGATGGTTTGAAGCTAAAAGAAAAGGGTGCAGGCTTCTGCCCAAAACCCCCTCTTTTGAAGCTAGTTTCTTCCGATTCGTCAGGCTTTAATGGTGCAGGATTAAACTCAAATGGAAATTTCTGAGTTGCATCTGGCTCTTGAATTGATGCCTGTTTTTCATTTCCTTGAGGCAATGCAGATGAAAAGTCTGTTGATGGTTTGTTAAATGCACTGTTCTGAGGTTCAAAGGAAACATTTGGCGCCCCTTTAGGAGTAATATCAAAATCTTTAGCTTTTTCTGCAGAGCCGAACCCGGTTTTGGGCAAGTGGAAAGCCGGCTGTGTAAAAATGTTTGAAGTGTTTGTCTCTGTGACAACAGAATCTTTAGTGCAGGGTTTGCTTTGACCACAAGCTGCACATTCAGTTTCCTTTTCTTCATTAACCACCAAACATTGAGTACATTCCCAGCTTCCAGCCTTGGGTAAAAACTTAGTAAAAAGCGAGGACTTGGTGTTACCTGAAACTAATGCACCATCCGTCTGGGTTGCTGATGGAGCTGCGGCACTGTTGTCAGTGTTGTTGGCACCACATGCAGCACAGATAAAAGTATTAGGCAAATTGGACTTGGAACAGATACCACATTCCCAGCTCCCAGGTTCTTTGGTCACTCCTGCTTTACCCTTTTCTATCCTGTTTAATCTGAATGGAGAAGTCGTGACACCAGATAATTTACCCTTACAGTTCTCAAATACTGCCTTGAACTCTGCAGTTTCCTCTGCCATTTTAAATCTTACAGCAAGTTGTTCGACATTAGGAGTTTCATCAGCAAAATCAGCAGCAGTGTTCCAGACTAAAGTGTTTTGAGAACCAGCCTGGAGAGGTTTGAGTTCCATTTCCGTGGTGATGAGATGGTTGGCACAGATCTTCAAGATATGTTCGCGTCTCATGAGAATTCGAAATCGGGTTTGACCAACAGCACTAAGTATCTTCAAGTTCCCCGTTCCTCGTTCTTTCCAGGATTTTAGGTCTTTGTCGTACCGGTAAAGCTTAGCACGCTTACTAAACAAGACAACTTCCCCTTCTTCTCCAGTTTTCTTTTCAATCTGTTTTGGCAGAGGGATGATAGGTTCAAAGTGGATTCCATCATCAAATGAAGTAGAATCATGACGTACACTTCCTTGCTCTGACTCGCCTTCTTCGCTCTGCTCTAGATCACTTTTCTTCTCTGGACTATTCTTTTGACTCAGTCCAGCAAAGAACTTGGAATCGATTTTCGGTGGCTCTGGGCTAGTCACGACTGGAATTCTCGGTCCAAGTCGTGATTTTACTGACGGTTTGGCAACGGGTGTCGACTCCAGTGGTCGACCATTCTGTGGTGTTTGTTGCCGGGAGTATGTTGGAGTAGTAGCCATGGCATCGTACGAAGCAGCCCCTTGACTTACTGGACTAGTAAATAGTGGCAAGTTATGCTGTGCTGGTATACTTGGTACAGGAGCAGGACTTGGGTAGTTTGTAGGACTCATGAATCCTGAAAATCCATGGCGTTTTAGTTCACGAAGTTCAGTCTAGATAAACACAAAAGAAAATATTACAAAACTACACCTGAGGTAATAGGAGAATAATTTGAACCCAGGTTTTGATATGGCGTGTTGAGTGTTCCTGTCTGGGTGTATGGTTGCAGTCTTTACAAAACGTTTCTAATTATGTTTCGACAACTTCAAAGAAGTCTTCTAGAGAAGATGGGACAATTAGGGCACTCACAACAATCACAACAACAACAACAACGGCAACGTCTTAATTTATGACAACTACCAACACAACGACAACACGATGCTATAGCCAAAATCAATGGTTAATATTTTACCTCTAGGCTGTGAACTTTATTGTTGAGCTGCTGAAGATGTTGATCTCTGACCGCCATCTGCTCTTGTAAGTAGCCATTGTTTAATGTCACCTCGCTTAGTTTGGCAATCAAATCTTTGGAACTTGCATCTTGTGGCTGCGAATCGATAAACATTCCCATTTAATGAATCATAATCTGCTAATGTTGAGAGAGGTTTTGAAGATGTGTGCGTTTAATACGTGGAAAGTATCTCTTTTGACACCATGTACAATTAACAATTACAATTAGAGTGCATTCCATATATATCCATGAAAAACTCAACCAACGAAATTGTACAAATTAGTGGAAAGTTTTGTAGCTCTGAGATCTGTACTGAGATCTACTGAATTTACTAATTTGTGCCAAAGTTTTTCACGGATATAATATTATGCACTCTTTCCAGAAAATGAATTACATGCTTATTTTCAAGTACGCCAATCTTCAAAACCGGATGAAAATTTTATTGGCTGATAATACTAATAAGGAGCATCATCAATCCTGAAAGGGGTGGAACAGGTCCATCCAATAGCATTGGAGTTAGGCCCTCTTCTCTCTTTTTCTCCCTCCCATCCCCCCACCCCATCCCCTGAAATTCAGGTTACAGTACTGACTAAAACATCATTTATACTGTACGATATAACATAACATTGAAAGGGCTTGCCATTATCTACCAGTATTTCATCCAATCAAAACACATAGTTACTGCTACGGCCCACTCATAAGAAAAGGATGGCTCTAGCAACACTGGGCCATACCTGTTCCAGCCAGAAATTGTCTTCTGATTCTTGGACGTCTGACATGGTGGTGGAGCTGCGACTCGCTTGGAAGTCAAGCTGCCGGAAGTCAAGCTGCTTTCCTTAAAAGATAATCACAAAAAAGGCTTATTTATTTAGAAAATGATCTACATGTTGGTTGTGCATGTTTCATTTTAGCTAGAGGACTTGTATGTTATGAGAAAAATTCTGAAATATTCAGAAAGGCAAAAACGTCCTTTTATTTAGATAGGTTTATTCTTACTTGGATTGGCTTGAGCTCTGTTTGGATCTTCGTTCAACATGTCTTCAATGTCATTCAGTTCATCCTGTAGAGTCTGTCGTCGCCTCTGCAATAATACATTAGAACAGAATGTCACATTATAGGATATGCATGTATGTGAAATGAAGTAGGTACAGAACCTTGACAACCTGAAGTATGTTAAGGTAAGTTAAAGTGCTAGAGAAAACCAACAAAGTCTCTGAACTGAATAGTTGATTGGATGGATGTATGTATGGATGGATAGAAGTATGGATGGATGGATGGATGGATGACTCATTGTCAATGTTCAACACAACGATCTAACACATAATAAAACGATAATGAAGACTCCAACAGACCACTCAATACCAATAAAATCAGGATAGCATTGTCTTGTACAGTACCTCTTCACTAGGGACCTTGTCTAAGCAGGCAAGCAGCAGTTCTCTGGCTTTATTCAAGCAGTTGTAGTACTCCTGTGCTGGTGTACCAGACTGAGCATCTGAACCAAGATCTTCTGATGCTGCAGCTTGTGCTTCAACATTTGCAAGGTACTTGTAAATCTATAAAAAAGATTATTTCTATTTCAAGCTAAAATGAAACCCTCATAAAAACTAAATTATGGGTAGTCATATACCCCATTCACACCAGCCAGACCTTTAAACATAATATTTAAAACTTAGACCTAAAAACTTGCATACCATCCCTGCCAAAATTCATGGTTTCAATTCAACTTCATCACATGAATTTTACACTAGTAGATTATTTCAAATTGCTATTTTGTATTTTACATGCTGGGTAGTCTTATACCATTCACACCAGACCTTTAAACATGTTTAAAACTTGTTCAATCAAACCAGTGGCCATTCGCACATGTGCAGCTAACTAAACTACTTTGGGGCAGGTAGTTTTAATCTTGTTTAACGATGGCAGCCAAACAAGGAAGGATGTGGGATAGAGAAATTACAGTCAAAATGGCTCAAGCTTACCCCCTAGGTTTCATTAGTGGTTTCATTATTCGAATATTGAAATTTATTATGCTTTCCGAGAATACTAATACTCCGATTCAAAATAATAACCGATTCAAAACTTGAATTCTGATTGGATTATGGTGTTCCTTATATGGAATAATCCAATCAGAATTCGAGTTTTGAATGAAACCATTAATGGAATCTAAGGGGGTAAACTGAAGCCATTTTGACTGTAAAAACTAAACAAGGTTAGTTGGTGCGAATGGGGGATTAGGAATGTAATGAATGTTCCACAAAAGCTGAAATACAAAAGAAAGCATCTACTACCTGTGCAAGGTTCCACATTCCTTGTGTTGTCTTGACTTGTTCAAACATTTCCATTGCCTCTTCAATCTTTCCTTCTCTCAGGGCTGCCTCACCAAGGATAAGCCTGGCTTTTTGAATGTTGAACTTGATATCAATTTTCTACAAAACAGGGTAGCGAAACATTACAAGTTATTGGACTTACTCCAAACAAAAAGATACAACTATCAGGTATACTAATATTGCAGTCAGGAGTCATGTTTATGAATACTGAAGAAGATCCTTGATCAGGGATCAAAACGTCTAATTGTAAAACATGAAAAAGTCAAAGAAAACAAGTGATTCAAATATTCACAAACTAACCATTAAGGAGTTCTGAAGTAAGGGGAAAAGAGAATCCTTTCTGACAGGGATGTTTTCATTTCTGTGAATAAGAAAGTAAAGTAAGATTATTTGGTGAATCAGAATGACAGATTTCAAAAACATTGTCTGTCTAAAATCTGAAGTGGGCAATCTAAGACTTTTGGTTCTTTTATGTTTTTTGGATCAGATAAACATTTTTTCCCGAACTCAAAGATTATGTTTCATAGTCTATTATAAAAGGAAACCATGTTGTTTGTCTGTGTATTTCCTCACAAGAATAGTAAGACAATAATGGTGCTAATTATCTGAACAAAAGAAAGTGTGCAAGGGATTCTGGTAGTTGTAGGTAATGATTGACGCCATAATGCAAGTGTCCTATTTGCAGCATGTTTCTGGCTCTCAAATTTTAGAATTCAGACCTCTGACTGACAAAAGTTCCTTAAAATAATTATATAAAGGAGAATGTTTACCAACTAAAGGCTGTTTGACAGTGCAACTTAGAATAAGATTCCCAAGCACCAACCACTATTCATAGCACAACATAAAAACGCTGATACAGTATTATCTGAATTATCTCACTTTTTTAGCCTTTTCGGTCACTATAAATTTATTGAGATAAGTGTATATAAATGAAAAAAAGTTTTAAGTGATGTTAACCTTTCAATTTTTTCAAGTAAAATAAGAGCTTCTTTCCAGTAGTGAAGACTTCTTGCTTGCAGGCTCTAGAAGTTTGGGGAAACGCGATTATTACTAATCTTCAAATTAATAATTATCAAGAGAGCATAAAAAAGAGAGGGACTTATTTATGCTCGCTTGAAAATATCCAATAAAGCAATAAATACAGTTAGTAAAAATACACAGGTGATTATTGAAAATCTCGCGCGCTGATTGGTCGAGAAACTTACACTACCACACGATAATCACCTCCAGCAATAACCGAAAATGGCGGCCAGCCGCTTTGTTGCTGTTACTGGAAAAAATGTCTTTTATCTTCTTTCTTTTCTTTTTTTTGAAAGAATCACCTGTGTATTTATACTAAAACAATTATTTGCCTCAGCCTCAGTGAATATCAGAGAATATTTACCTCGCCGCTCAAAGACTTGAGTCTCGGTAAATATTCCCCGATATTCAAATATTAATTGTTAGGTAGTTCCAACCATTTGGCTTCATGTTACTTCTGGAGTTCGGGCTTTAAATTATAGCAAAATATCTCCATTACGAAGCAGAAGGTCTCACCTTCCAGTGTTCTTCATAGTACCAAGGACTGACCCCAGCTGTTTTCAAATAGGATGCCTAAATTTAAAAACCAATATGAGAAAAATACTTATGTTTATAGAAATACAAGCAGTCAATCTGAGGACGATTCTGTATCCTCACTTATTTTTCATAATTATTTTGATAATATAATATTATAATTATGCATAGCATACCTTGTCTCCAAAGTTGAAAGCAAGATAGATAAGAAGCCGTACATGTAAGCCATGGACACCAAGAGCACGGATCACTTCTAGGCCTTGTTGAACAGTTGCTCTTACCCTGCCTGCACTGCTGACACTAAAAATAAACCCAATTATTTTAAGGTGTCAATAACATGGTACTTACATTCTGCTTATACCATAAATCCTCTATTTAGCCCCCCGGGGGGCTTATTTATTTCAGGCCCGTTTGAGGGAGGGCTTATTGGAGAGAGGGGGCTTAATTGAGAGGGGGGGCTTATTGATTTAGTCAAAACGCAGCAAGTTGTACCATAGTTAATAGTTAATATTAACTATGGTTGTACGCTGTCAGGATGTAATGTGATTGTAACTCAGAAACGGTAGCATTACTATTGACCATCTCGCATATCTGTAGTGATGTACATGGCATTTTTATTATTTGATTCACCTGTGTTAGTCTCTCAAGTATAATTTACGATTATGTTAGTGAACTACCGTATCAAGACTTTAATAAATCACCTTTAATCAGTACACGTGATTCTTTAGTTGTGAAGGGGGGACTAAAAAGAGAGGGGGGGCTAAATAGAGGATTTACTGTATTTCAAATTCTTCTTACCCAAACAAAAAATAAAATATAAGAAAAGAAAAAAAATATTAAAAAATGAAGTCAGTCTGACTCCATGCCTACATTTTTGGGAATTTACCATGATGCATTGCTATGCAGGCTAGTGAAAAATCGAGTACCTTGCTTATCATGTTGAAAGAATTGATAGCAAGAAAGCACTAAATACCAAGGACCAGGTCAAAGGAAAAACTTTCCAATAAAAAAGAGTGATTTTAGACTTTTGAAAATGATGCCAAAAATAGTCAATTTTTTTTAGAATTTTTTTGTTAGAATTTTGGACATTCCTCCTAGTCCTCCAGGTTTTTTGATTTGAAAAGTTTTTTTCTGTTTTTTTTTTTTTTTTTTTTTTTTTTTTTTTTTTTTTTTTTTTTTTTTCTTTTTTCTAGCAAGCATTTTAGACTGGTATTCTAGCCAACTCTCTCAAAATTGTTGAAGATGAAATTCTTCAAATAAGAATCATTTTTCCAGCGTTTTTAGGCATTGTAGGAGTCAAAGGGTTACAAGTTGCTTTGCTAGTAATCATCTCACACACCTTGCAGCACCAGCATACAAGTTGTATGCAGCCAACCACCATTCTTCTTGTGCAGGTGAAGTCAGACAGTCACACAACTGTTGTGGCAGGATTTGTGGTTGGTAATCAGGAATGTACAAATCTTGGTCCTCAAGGAACTTTGCTGCTGATGTTCGTATTACGGCATACACAAAGGCCTGCAAAGAATCGAGGTCATGCTTTAAGAAGGGTCGACCTTGTTTTACAAGGGTACTACTTAATAGCCAGTGGCTTTAAAACCTGTTTATGATCAAATTGGAATTAAACTTAGAAGTTGGTTTTTGAGGAGGGAGGAAAACCAGAGAACTTACAATGTAAAGGAAAACCACAGGAGAACCAACTTGATTCAACTGAAAACATTTAGTGTAATGTCTTCTCATTTCAAAACACATATTATCATGTACTGTTTGTAATACAACATTCTATATGATCACATTTTGGAAAGAAGTGTACCTCAAGGTCTCTTAAGCATAACGTATCTGCAGCAGTTTGTTCAATGTTGGGAACATCCATCCTCAGTCCGTCAAAGATTCTAGCAACAATCACACCCACTGTAAAAAGATAAAGTATTAGAATTGCATTGTCAAACTGAAGCTAAAACCTTTCTACACAGCATGAAATATCATGGGCAGTGTAATAATATGAAGCACAATTTCTTCTGAAACTTGTTTTTTTCTTTGCTATACAAGCTTCAGCCTCCTACACATATGTCTTCATGAAAAGCTTCTATTGTTGCATGATGATGCAAAGGATGTTGGCATAGGGTAGTAGGTAGTATTTCTTTACCTCCTGGCCTGATGCTTCGCTCATAATGATACCAATGTAATCCTATCCATGTTATAAGCTCAAGGTTCCTAGGATTATTGCCAACACAAACTGAAAACACAAAAGATCAAATTATTGCACAATTGTTGGTATCCTTTGTTATGTACATTCATTCTACCATTTGTTTGTGGTCAAAAATGTGATACTTAGTTTCCGTCATAAGCAAGTATGTTTTGAAAATCAAGGGTGGTGCTTTCACCAGAAGAGCCAGTGTTCGAGTCTCACTGGGCTCGGCATAATATGTGAGTAGAGTTGCTTGTTGGTTCTCTCATGTGCTTCGAGAGTTTTTTCTCTCACCAATGTGACCCGGTACGTGGCGTATGTAAGTAGAGTTTCTTGTTGGTTCTCTCCTATGCTTTGAGGGTTTTTGAAGAGCCACTTTGTGGAAATCCCACTATTGAATCCCATAAATTAATTTTTCTATTTTTCTTTAAAAGATATATTTTTTATTATAAGTATGTGTAAAAAAGGTAGAGGTAAAGGTAATTTATTTTACTTCGATAGCGTGGGGAGTGGTTGCCCAATTCTCCCAAGCCAAGGGCTCATGTTTAATGCACTTGAAGGTGCACCCTCTACCCCCTCTTACTATCAGTGCTCCTTTTTACGGGTATTTAAAACTAATTACAGCTACACAGAACAGAGAGAAGTCGAAACAGACGTGGAGGTCCTGAGGATCCAACTATGGACCTCCAGCTCTGAAAGCCACACACTAACCAAGTGAGCTACGCCTGTGCCTAACTGTGAAGCGTACTGCAATTTTTAAAATTACCTTCATCATACTTGACTAGCTGTTCAACAGATGGAAGGTTTATTTCAAGAAGAAAAAACTCTTCATCATTTGCCAGGAACGACTGATAAAACAAATAGAAGCCAGCAAACAGAAGTAAGTTATAAAATATACATACAGACAGGATTAACATGTTAAAAAACTGATGCCACTTAAAGTTTTGGTAATCCACTAAGTAAGGTTACCATTACAAATACTGCATTAAAATATCATAACTTTAACTTGACAAAAGACATAAACTACAGAAATTCAAAAACTACCTTTGATTTATCTCGATGTTCACCATACACTGTATTCAAAATTTCTTCCTGACCCTAGCGAGAGAATACGATTATGAGTAAGAGACGTTTTCAGTGGATCTCAATACTGAACAAAAATAAAGGGAAAATCAAAGAAATAGAGGATGCCGTGCAGAGATATGGGTTTTATCTTTGATTGTTGAGGTGACACCTTACACGAGATGGTCTCCAAGTGGCCATGTGCTGTAATATTCTGTTTAACCCTTTCACTACTAGAGCAGCCAAAAGCGTCCAACCAGAAATGCTACATTTTTCCACTTAAACCATTTAAAACAAGTTACCTGTTGAGTACACCAGTCAGAGATACAATTATCCAACCATTCTTCTCCATACTTGTGAATAACTGCTTCAAGTAGGTGACCTATATTGATCAAAAACAAAATGAAATGATTCAAACATCAAGATATAAGAGAAACTTAAAGAATTAACTGTTGATAAACAATGTTAAAAAGCAGCTCCTCCCAAAATTCCCTCTAGCCTACAGGTCACATTTTGCATTAATGAGCATACTGGTCAATTTTGTTTATAGAGGATGACGATTGACGATTCAACTGATAAACTCATGGTCCTCCTTTAACATCTCTAGTGAATTAGGGCTGGACCAATATTAATGTTAGTGGTAACTGAACCACATAAAGGTCGTGCATGCATTTGCAGATGTTATTACTAAGACAGTACCTTATCCTCAGTTATTATATGACCCTAAGCGTTGGTCTGGACAGGACTTCAAAATAAAACCTCCCACAAAAGAGACCAATGCTTTTAACAATTGAGCTAACCGGGTGGCAGCGGTTGCAATACATTGATTTCTGGATAGCTTTTTCAATGTTAAATTGTGTGTGTGAACAAACCTGCATGACTTAGCCTGTAGCATGCCATATGATACCATCTGAGTGCATCTTTATTCTTTGGTGCTGTAGCAACCCATGGAGTAGTAATATCTGGTTCTTGCACTTGGGCACACATGGTGTAACACACACTGGCTAGTTTTAGGGCTCTTGGCCATGTTAGGTAATTCTAAAAATGCAACATATTGAAGATGATCATGAGAGCCACCAATGAATGGAATATTTGGTCAATAAAGGAACAAGTTTCAAAAGTTTATAAACTAAAAAAACTGAATAGTAATGTACTGGTTGCATCTCGCCTCTCTGGGTTTGACCCGTCTCAAACTGGATCAAACTGTATGTGAGTTGTCCACATTAGTACACATTACCAGTTATCACCACTTGTATGTGAGTTGAGTTTGTTTGATGTCAATAAAGGAACAAATTTCAAAAGTTTATAAACTAAAAAAACTGTGACTATCTGTTCAAGGGTGGAATAGTAATGTACTGGTTGCATCTCGCCTCTCACCGCTGTAGTCTGGGATTGACCCGTCTCAAACTGGATCAAACTGTATGTGAGTTGTCCACGCTAGTACTCTACTAGCTATCACCACTTTTATGTGAGTTGAGTTTGTTTGATGTGTTGTTCTCTCCCTTGTCACCTGGGTTTTCTCCGGGTTCTCTGGTTACCTCCCTCTATAAAATCAGCATGTGAGTTGAGTGTTGTATGTTTGAAATATAGAATGTAGTGGTTATGCGTATGGAGGTTACTTCACAGAAGAGCCCCGTATGGGGAGTGATGGTTGTTAAATATAAATATTCCTATATATATATAGGAAACAAACAAGGTTGTCCATTGCATAGTTTCTATGCTTTATGCTGAAAGAAGTTTTGTATGTATGTTAAATTAATGCGTAGTTAATTACTGGCAATCTCATTACTGTCAAACAAAAATAATACTTAAGGGAATGACTATTGCTAAATCATGGTTTTTACTTGCGTAGGAATCGAAGTCAGAGTTGTAAACAGTAACTGTTTACAACTCTGACTTCGATTCCTACGCAAGTATATTTTTGTATGAACTGTTCATGAATGAAATTGCAAGTGAAAACCACTTGTCATACAAGCACAAGCATAAGCTAAGAAAGAAAAATCCTTCCCATTCCAAAAACTTCCATTCTGACTCCTGAATCCAATTCCGACTCTATTTTTTCAATTTATCATCAGTTCCTTTAGACTCTGATTCCGATACTAACTCCATCACAAGTGAAAACACTGCTTAAGTTTTAAGGCCGGTTTTTGCCTTAAAGTATTCAAGGAAAATGTATTTAGTGTTAAAACTGAATCAGAAACAAAAATATAGTTGTTTATACTTCTAAGCTTATAGATATGATGCAATGTTTTGTTTTCTGTTCATGAATGATGTGGTTGAGTTCCCTTACCTCCTTAGCTAGTTTCAGGATAAGAGTTGCACAGTGTAAGTACAACTGTCCTCTCATCTCAGTAAGAACTACATCCCATTCATATTTCTGTGAGTGACTTCCTCTTGCTGTGCTACGGACTTTTCTCTCATGTGCCATTGTTAAACAATGATCTAATCTATTAAACCAATAACAGAATTAGAATAAATACTTCAACATACGTGTAATAAGCATGAAGTTCTAAAAGTTTTGGCTGGTCATTGGCCAGTCATGATGACAAGCCAAATTAGCTTTAGCTCAATCATACATTGTTTCTGGCTCAAAATTACTGGTCAAAATGACCGGCAAGGCAAACATTTGACTGGACAAGTTCCAATGGACAAGTTCCAATGGACAAGTTTCAATGGACTACTTTGACAATACATCAGCCATCTTGGAACACAAGACATCATGGGGTATCCAGGGGGCAAAACAAGACAAAAGTGGTAGAAATTATATAGAGTTTTGTGTGTTTGTCTTTCTTTCAAAAAAATTGATCAATGTGTAATCTGTACTATGTAGCATTGAGCTACATATTACGTAGCTAGCTTTATCAATTTACCCCCTGGATGCCTCATAATCCCTTTTCTTCAAAGGTGGCTGCCATATCATAGAGGTAATCTATACTGGCTGGACATTGTCCAATGACCAGCTGTCAGCCCTGGGCCTGATCCAACATTTGCTTGTAAGCTTAAATGATCAATAYTTCAATCAACTTTATATATGTGCTATGTACAAAAACACTGGATAAATTTGGCAGGGCTTGCAATATCGTGTGATAATGGAGAGGCAACTGGTTCATATTTGCATTATTCATTCACATTATTTACCTGTAGAACAAGTTGATAGTTTCTCTAGTTTTTTCAGTCTTCATAAAAAGATTCAAGAGCTGTGATAGTGCAGCCATTAGGTGTGCGTGTGAGTCCAAGATAACATGTCCTGGCCCAATATCTCGGTCAGAGTGAACTAAGAGAAATTAAAGAAATTAGATTAAACTTAAATCATAGAACATACAAAAACACAGAATTGACATTAATGGAAAACAAAGATTGGTTAGCTTACTCATTTTGTCCTGTTTCACCATGTATTTCTGAAGAGGAAGAAAAAATTAGGAAAAAAGGTATTGTTTTGGATTTCAAACCTTAACGAAAGCCCTGCCAGGACTAACCAGCTAGTTTATGATCTTCTCATATTATTTCAATACTTAATGAACACCCTGCCAGGACTAACCAGCTAGTTCACAATCTTCTCCCATAATCATTTTAAAACTTAATGGATACCCTGCCATGCTCATTACATAGTTACATGGTTTTACTCAATAATTGTATTATATTATATTATGATATACTATTATCATTATTATACAAATGCCATATACCATGTCATACCTCAAAAACATCAACAGCACACATCCACCATTCTTGGTCACCATCAAATGCTTTTGTTCTGACTACGGATGCACAGTGAGAATATGCCTCAACTAAACGACCTGTAAGACGACTAAATATTAGTTGCAAATGAGAACCAGAAAAAAGTTCTTTGAACTTTCTAAACAGCTATTTACTCAACACTCATGGATGGACGGCTTTATGCCTAACAGGTTTTGCAACCCAAATGATAAGGCAGCCAATAGATCGAAYTCAACTCTAGAATCATAATTACCTGTTGCAGCATAAACTTTGATTAACCTGATATGCAGCTTGGCATCTCTTGGTCTTTTGGTCTGATAAAGAATTACAGTGTTTTAAATAACAAAAGGTTATTTAAATTCAAAAACGTTTGTTCAATTATTTGTTATGTGCCTGACACTCTGCGGTTATGTATGTAATAATCATGTATTTATAGCAACAAAAAGTATGGAGATTAAATTTAAAAAATAACATTATCAACTCACCATTTCCTCGGAGATGAGATCTTCCATTTGTTCATAATCAATCTTGCCCACAGACTCCAGTAGATGCATCTAGAATTATAATACACATATGAAAAATGCTAAAACCTAGTTTCTTCTAACATACACCTCTATATCCAAAAACAAAAAGATTTCAAATATTAGCAACAAAAAATACCATGGTAACATACTCTGAGTTTAAACACAGCTGTGTGGCCAGGGTAGAGTCTTGCTGCTCTGTCTGCCCAGGCCTGGAATGAATATCAAATATAATATCAAGCTTCATGCTTTGAATGTTGTCATTTTATTTCCAGGAACTGCATTTATCTGTGATACAGAATAGCATTATTAGTAATCCAAACTGTCTATGTAAGGCTCAGCTTTTCTAATCCTGATCAATAGTCCATGGTTAGTTATAATTACCAAGACAACCATATCTCAACAGAAAATTTCAGCTTTGATTAAAACAAATCTCTATGTTAATTAACTAACTTAGACCAAAACCTTAATATGTTTTATGAGCTCTAAATCACAAGATTATAAGATTAGGAAATATTTTTCCCTGAATCATCTTCCAAATTAAGTTAATTATATTTTGTTGATGACCGAAAATAAAATAAAATAAAACAAATCTTTCTCATTTTGTGAGGGTAGCACTCAATAGACAGGGGCTAATAACCAATGGCCATCTTTTTTTAAAGTAGATTTTTGTAAATTATTTTTGTAAAATACCAATTAAACAATTCAATGTAATCTTTTAGTACTATTTAACTTATACAGACTTTCATGAGTTAGCTAGATTTCTATAATGGCTGCATTTTCACTAGAAATGTTAACTTGCCTAAAATTCCTGGAGGTGTTTTAAACCTTTCAAGAAAAACACTCTGATTGGCCCATTTATTTGGTAGGACAACTTAAACCATCTTGCTAGGTAGTTTAACTTTGCCTTACTTCTTGTGTTATATTTAAGCTAGTTTAAATTGTCCTAGTGAAAACACAGCCAATAGGACACCACTTACTCTTGCTCTGCCTGGATCAACTGGAACTTGGCAATACAGTTCCACAACTATAACATGAAAAATACTGACATTAAATTCCCATAAGCAAAGATTATTTTCATGGTTTTGCTATATGTTATAAAAGACTTGGACATTGATTAGCATGTTTCCATTGAGTTTTTGGTGCAAGTGATCAGTAAGTTGCTTAAAGTGCACATGAACTCTTTGACAATACATTCAGTACCGGTTCTGCATAAAGTAAATAGTTGATTGGTAAAATATTTCTTGATTTGAGTGACGCGTCTCTAAGTTAGGAAGGTTTATACTTCCAATATGTTAATGATGATGACGTCAGGTAAGGTATTTGAGTGTTTTTGTTGTAACTAGTAATACTTAATGTTGGTCATTTTGAAAATAAAAATTTTAAATAGCTTTCATGTAAACCATGAGTAAAATAATGATGCTTTTTAAATACTGTATCTATGAACCAGTTCGATTTTGTATATTTAATTAAGCCTTAATAGACGTCACGCTTATTAGCATATTGAAAGTATAAACCTTCATAATTTAGAAAAGCATCACTCAAATCAAGAAATATTTTACCATTCAACTATTTACTTCATGTATGATCAGTACTGAAAGTATTGTCGTAGGGTTCATTTGCACTTTAAGCACTAAAAAAGCTAGAGTTGCACTCTGGTATGCCCCGTGCGACTCTTATGCTTCCTTTATGCTTAGCATAACCTCCCAACTCTATGAAATCAGGCTATTCAATGACCAATCCTATAATATATAACACTAGTGTTTATAACAATCCGGCTTACCTTTGAGGACTAGATCATGTTGGGTGTTGTTCAGGTCTAGGGATCTATTCATTTAACGACAACAAAAAAACACTTATTGAAATTACTGTACTCAAAAATGTTAAAAATGGGTACTTTTACAATTTGATCAAATTTCCCAAAGATCATGGGTTGTCATTTCAAAACTTCGTTTTGTTTCGTTAACTGGGTCCATAATGCCTTGCAAATCAAGATGGCTGCAACATTGTCAAAGTAGTCTTTTCACCATTTTCAATTCATTGGTTCACTGGTCAAACACAAAGCACTCAAGCGAGGCGCCAAGGTACTTTCAAAGAATAATATTATTCAAATTTGAACCTTGCAACCTTGACTGAATGCTTTGTGCTTGACCAGTGAACCGGTGTATGGAAAATGGTAAATTGAGGGGTTTTTTTTCTGTTCTAGCCAAACTGACAAGGTTATAACAACGAAACTAGTTTTTAAAGGCTAAAATACACAATTAGTGTGTATGAGACAGTAATATAAGAAAGTGAGAATTCACTAGTTTAAATTATGAGTATAGTTTAGTTAGTGGCCCATGATAAATGACGTGACTAAATCTGATCTGATTTGATTTACGATTTACTGTAAAAAAATTAAAGTTTTTTTTGTTTTATACTAAAAGAACGACTAGAAGTTTTATTAGTAAGATATTTCAGACAATATCCATCGTCTATCATCAGTTTAATGATAATGTTTTCTATTAATCAAAAGAAAGCCAAACCTACCTTCTGTAAGAAAGTAATGCTTTTTCAAGATTTCCTGTTTCTTCAAACAGCTGTCCCATCATTCTATGACCCCTGTGTGAATAAAAGTAATAAATCCAATATTTAATTATTTAACAAATAGACATCAGTTTTTTATGTGTCTGTCCTCTTATTGACGATAAATTGCGTCATCACCTTGTCCAAGTAGTGTGGATTCACGAGGCGTAGCCGAGTGGATCCGCATACTACTTTGACAATGTGATGACGTAATTTATCGTCAATAAGAGGACAGACACATAAAAAAACTGATGTCTATTTGTTTTTTACAATAACAAAAACGATAAAAATTTCTCATTTTTAGCAATCAAAACAACCAACGGAAAGAGCGCRCGCTCGTTGACGTCAGCTTTATCTGTCTGTCCTCTTATTGATGATAAAAAATTACCAATTAGTGCGCGAGAAATTTGTAAGTTATTGTAAAAACAGCTGTTTCAAAAAAGGTTGAATACTGAATACTGCATACTGAATAGTGCATTCCAAGACCAAAGGGCATTCTGGGTCTCATTAATTTGAAATAAAGAGTAAAATACAGCAATTAACTCTCAACCTGTAGTTTGTATATTGTTTCAGATGGAATACACTGAAGATAGAATAAATAATTATTATTAATCCTACTTATGACAATGTCACTATGATCCACAATGCACTTCGGTCTTGAAATGCACTATTCAGTATGCAGTATTCAGTATTCGACCTTTTTGAAATAGCTGTATATAAAATATATGAAATAGAATGTGGCCGATGAAGGAATTAATAAAATGAATGAACATGGATGAATGGATAAATAAATGAGTAAAAAAATTTAAAAACTCCAAAAAATCAAAAAATAAATAAAAGAATAAAATAAAGAAGGAAGGGAGGTTATGTGAGGAAAGAAAGAACGAGACATCAGGGCTTAAAAACAATGGGACATCAGTTGCCAGTCATAACCACTGACAAAATAGGTTTTAGCTCAGTCATATACCTCGTTTCTGATTCAACGTTACTGGTCAAAATCACTGGAAAGGAAAAGATTTGACCTGACAAGTGACATTGTTCTGCCATGGCCGGCCGTTATTTTAAGTCAAAATGAAGAGGAAAGGAGAAAGGGAAAGGAAGAAGGGAAAAAAGAAAAAGGAGAGGACAAATGAAATGAATATGAAAAGAAAAAATAGAAGAATGCAAAGGAGAAAGAAACGAGAATAAGAATGAAAGGATGGAAAGATGGTTGAAAGACAATATCATATCAGAAATCGATCATTATCATAAATTGGTCTCATACAATATACCCATACATATTTAATGTAATCCTACTTATATGACATTCAAATTAACCTCAAAAGTCTTCTTACAAAAAGTTTTTACAAATGTCATGTAAGCTGGCTATTTTGTTTTACCTGAAATCGCTCTCATTGACGCTGAGATAGGCTTCGAGATGTCTGGAGAAACAAGGACATTTTCAAGATGAATGGTTGTTTAAAAAGAGATGTGTGAGCGATTCTTCATCCAGCGGAAAGGATGAAACAATGTAATGTTAGAATACGACATCTGGAAGTCTGAATAACAAATTGTGAAAGCGAAACCGTTTTTTTTCATTTGAATAAACCGAAAACGGAAGTGTGAATGATAAATGGCGGGCAACTTTAAAGTTGATATCGTAAACCATTACCTTTTGGCTTTCACGTTGTCTCGGGCCTCTCTGTAAAGCCGAGCAAATGCAAATCCTTTGAGATTTTTCTAAACAACGAGATAAAATAGCAAAAATGACTAATTATTGCTTCTGTTCGATGTCAAATGGTTTGAAATTCACGGCAGAACACGACGCAGTCTTTTACCTCTCTGGTGCTGTCAATATTCCTTTCCACTTTAGCCACATATTTATCCACCTCATCTTTAGTCCATCCCATGTTTGCGAGGAATTTTGCAGTCCAGTTCAACCTATTTGAGTCAAATTGTCACAATTTTCTTGCATTTTTCCTGGAATTTGCCTCCAAAATTCGTCGTCTCGATCGTCACGTTTTTTGCTACTGCACATGCGCTATATGATGGACTATCACATAAGGATCGCGGGCGCAATACCGAATAACCTTATGATTTTAATGGTGAATTTTAGTTTTTATGCTCAAAAATATTTTATCAAATTATAATTGCCTTAGGATTTCGTTGGCCATTTGTATACCTGTACTTCAGTCTAAAAAAACACTTACAATGATTATCGAAATTTTGCGGATTTCTATTAAGCAACATTGCAATATTTTTTATCATATGAACATTTATTTTGCTGATAAATGTTCATTATTTTTCTTTTTTATCTTGATTTAGTTGTAATTTTATTTAAATGATTAGAAGCAACTTAAGTGTAAACTGGGAAGCCTGTGTATTTGACCGGAAAACGAAAATTAGCCTAAGGAGGGTAGGGAAGGGAATGGACAGGAAATGAAGTTGGCAATCCCTTGCGGGAAAGTAGATGTTGTCTTTGTCCAGTGAAACAGTAATGGCGACCAACGAGATGGAAACCGACGATCACACTCATCTACCGGTCTCTAGCGGCTTAAGAAGATCGAATTCAGCTCCAAACATAAGCGTAGCAGTTTTAAATCACAACACCCCTACATTCCAGTCATTATCCTTACCAAGACAACGAAGATTTTCTGTGAATTCTCCAAACCAAAACATGATAGTAAGTAAATACTACAGCTAGAACTCTACTGGACGAAGGAGCTGTTTTGGAAGCTACAACGAGCCTTTTCTTTTCTTTCCTTACAGACTGTAGGATCTCCTGCTTCTAGGGTAAATCAACTAAAGAGGGTAGGTCAAACCTAAATTCTGTACAAAATTATGTTGAAGATCAACATTATAGCTTACTTCTCATGCATCTCGACTTTGGAAAAGTTGCAGATACGATGTCATGTCATTAGCGATCTTTATTTGATTCTTCTGATTTTCTTCTAATTCTAGGATGAAAGCGTTGACGATATGCGTCGAGAGGTGCAGAGAGAACAGTAAGTCTAGTTTCTACACGTAAAACAATTTCTTCAATCTCAAATCGATTCAATATTGTATGACATGGTTCGAAATTCTTGAGGTGGGCATGAGCGAAGAAAGATGGCCAAATTAATTTCAATCACCTTGTCTAGCAAATTTAGATACGTCGACTTTTCTTATCTAAGCAGTAGTACATCTTGTTCTCAAACCCAAATGAACTTAGAATAGGTTTTTAATCTTAACTTTGAAATCTTCATATTTTACTTTAAAAGATAGACTTCTCACTTACGGTCTGAAAGTTTGTCCATCAAGTACTTTATACTGTCAACAGCTTCCAACAAATACTTATAAATTTACGACTTTTTTTAAATTATTGTTTTAGTTATTATCTTGGAACTTTGAAATTATTTACACAATTAACGATGAAATGATGTTAGATTATATTTACAATTTATAATGAAACTGTGTACATTGTAAATATTTCTATTTTGAGTTTCGTGCTGAAACAACTTTTTACCATTGCTATACATAAATTCTTAATATTATTAAAACTCCGTATTTGCAAGCTGCATACTGAAATTTGTAAATATTTTTTGCTTTTGTCAATCGAAAACAATCAGTCAGTACCTTTTTATATTTTTCACTAGTACTGGTGCAATAATTTAAAAAACTATTTCATGACCAACCTTTAAAGTGTCTGAGTTTGCATAATGTATTGAGAATTGCAGTTAGATGTTTAATTGTACAGCTTCTCATTAATTCCATATAGGTAACTGTGTAATTATTTTCTTTAATTTGACAGGTTTGTTGATATGGAATTAATTAGGCAGCTATATAATTAAAAGGTAATGGGATTTCATGCTACCCAATCAAGAAATAATTAGACTCGAAAAATTCCTCTGACTGCCAAATTGGACTCTGCCTACGGCCTCATCCAATTTTGTCAGTCCTCGGAATTTTCCTCGTCCAATTATTTCTTAATTGGACAGCATGGAGTCCTATTACATACATATACTTATTATCTTTCATGGGCTTGATCACACACTCTAACAAAACCAGCCCTTTTACACCAATTATTGGGTCATGTGATAAAATGCTTATTGACTGAGTTAGGTCGGCCTGAACAGGATAATATTTGGCTGTTGTTCATTTGTACAGACCTTGCTGTGCTCGTTCATACAGTATGACCTCAAGCCAAATATTTTCCCATCCTGGCCTCTCACTCAGTCAAGAAGTACATAGTATTTCAACAAATTTTCATTTTGTTGCATTATCATCATCATCATCATTATT